CCTATATTGTAATTTGTTTTTCATCTATCTCTTCCATCTGTGATGCACATGGAAGGAATTATTCACAGAGTCCTTTTCTTTAGTTAAGGTCAGGAGACAAGTCCTGGTGGGGCCAAACATTCTAGCTGTTCTGATTTTCAGTGAGTTTCACTGAGTTGTTTGCTATCAACTTATGGAGGAAAGGTGTTATGTCTCCTTTACATTGGTCCAAAATAAAGTAGGTGGGACATAGGTTGAGTTATGAGAAAAAGAGTCAGTCAAATGCCATTACAGCATAATGGACATTATCTAAAAAGTGAGATAAGTGCATCAACCTAATGTCTCCTTAATAACAAAACTATACCTTATTCTGATTTTTTTCTGCCTTAGAAGGTAACCTAAAGCTTAAATTTACCTTATGATTATAGCCTTTCTTTTATAAGTTGAAGCACATTTTGGTCCATTGAGCAAACTCATTCTTATTCATTGCCTTTTAAAGTTGACATTTAACTTTCACAGCTGTAGAGCTGGCAAGAAGTAAAAGATTATTTAATATTCAAGAGAGCAGATTCTAAAACACCACAGCATTCTACTGTATGAAACATTCTATAATTAGTATATATTAACTGAAAGAATTACATATGGAATTAGTGGAGGCTGGTTGAAGGTGTTTATGTATTTATTTCATTGCTAATATTCATGAATCAAATAAACAAATGAGTAATTCTAGCAATTCAAACTAATTAGGGCTGATTTTCTAAAAGACTATGTCTTCAAAGGCATTGACCAAAAAGAATTGAGAACAACTTTTGGTTCTAAAGGCCTTGAACCCCTAAATCAAATAAGACAGGAATTAGCCAAATCCCCTTCTATTATCATTTGCTGTTCAACATCAGAAATAATGAATCTATTAACTCAGGAGATAACTGTGGTGTATTTGCTGCAGGTTAGGCTCTGGGGACTGGTTGTGATAGTCTTTCCCTTCAGAGCATTGAATTTAGCAACAACAAGAAGAATGCAAATAATTGCAAGAAATATTAATAGTGTTTGCATAAAAGAAGCACACAGTGCTATGGGCACCCACAATGAGAGACCTAACCAAGTTATGGGGAGTGGGGTGGCAGTAGGTATGGGAAGGTCATCTGGGGGAGGTGGCAGATCAGATGAGACTTGATAACATCAGAGTTAAGATGAACATAGAATTTTGCTTCCCCCAAAAGCGCCACTAAAACCATAGTAAAGAGGCTTAAGAAAAGGCTTTTTTAACCCATAAGAATATGGAGAGCAGGAGAAGGGACAAGAGAGACAAATTTGGGAAACTCAAGAGAAGATGTATAAGTGGTTCCTGACTCAGCAGAAAGCTGAATGAATCCTAAATCAGCAAAGGCCTGTGGGGAGAGCTATCTGAAAAGTAGGTGATGATCTAAAGCTCCTTCCCCTACTGCGGGGTAACTGCCCCTCTCCTCCCTTAGCAGAAAGCTAGAAATTTATTCATCTGTGGGGTAAGAAAGTCCTTAATCAAAAACACAATTCAATTCAGTGACCATGCATAATGCTGTATTCATATTGATGTCCCAGTCCAATTGCCTTGCTCACTCTAAGAACACAGGCACCAGCCCACTCTTTACTCTTCAGAAGGGAGATTGAAGAGGCTTATCTGGGAATATGACCAGCCCTAGAGGAGAGAATAACATAGAGTCATGCCAAATAATGAGATTTCAGTCAACAATAGGCTGGACAGTATGTACTGTGAAGACTACATAAGGTTATAATGAAACTGAAAAATTTCTATTGACGTTGTTTCCTATGTAATATCATAGCACAATGCATTACTCACATATTTGTGGTGATGATAGTATAAACAAGCCTACTGTGCTGCCAGCTATATAAAAGTAGAGCACATACAATTATGTACAGTATATAATAATACTTAATAACAATAACAAACTACTGTTACTGGTTTATGTACTTACTAAACTATACTTTTTATTTCTATTTTAGAGTATATTTCTTCTACTTTTTAAAAAAAATATATTAACTTTAAAACAGTCTCAGGCAGGTCTTTCAGGAGATATTCCAGAAGAAGGCATTGTTTCACAGGAGATGACAGCTCCATGCCTGTTATTGTCCCTGAAGGCCTATCAGTAGCACAAGATGTGGAGGTGGAAGGCAGTGATATTGATAACCCTGACCCCGTGTAGGTCTATGCTAAGGTGTGTGACTGTGTCTTCATTTTTAAGAAAAAAACAAAGTTAAAAAAATTTGAAAGTTAAAAAAATTGTTTAATAATAAATTAATAATGAATAATAAAAAGCAGATGGGGATATAAAGAAAGACAAATTTTATACAGTTATACAATGTGTTTGTATTTTAAGCTAAGTGTTGCTAATAGTCCAAAAGTTAAAATAAAATAAAATAACTTATAAAGTAAAAAAGATGCAATAAACTAAGGTAAATTTCTTTTTGAAGAAAGAAAAATATTGTTGATGTATTTTGGATGTTTGACCTCTCCAGATCTCATACTGAAATGTGATCCCCATTGTTGGAGGTGGGGGCTGATGAGAGCTGTTTGGGTCATGGGGGTGGAACCTCATGAGTGGCTTGGTGCCCTTCTTGCAGTAATGAGTTCACATGAGATCTGGTAGTTAAAAAGACCCTGGCATCTCCTCTCTTGCTCCCTCTGTCACCATATGACATTCCTGCTCCCTTCACCTTCTGCCATGAGAAAAAGCTTCCTAAGGGCTCACCAGAAGCCAAGCAGATGCTGGTGCCATGCTTTTACAGCCTGCAGAACTGTGAGCCAAAAAAACCTCTTTTCTTTATAAATTACCCAGTCTCAGGTATTCATTTGTAGCAGTGCAAAATGGACTAACACAATCGTTTTATAAATTTAGTGTAGCCTAAGCATATGGTGTTTAAAAAGTCTACAGTAGTGTTTAGTAATGTTCTAGACCTTCACATCTATAGACTCACCACTCACTTGCAGATTCACCAAGAACAACTTCCAGTCTTGCAGGTTACGTGCATGACATGTTTCCTATACAGGTGTACTATTTTTTATCTTTCATTCTGTATTCCTACTGTACCTTTTTATGTTTGGATAAATAAATACTTACCACTGTATTATAATTGCCTATACTGTTCAGTACAGTAACATACTGTACAGGTTTATAGCCTAGGAGCAATAGATTTTACCATGTAGCCTCAGTGTGTAGTAGGCTAGACCATCTAGTTTTCTGTAAGTACACGCTATGATGTTCACACAATGACGAAATCACCTAACAACACATTTCTCGGAACACATCTCTGACATTACGCAATGCATGACTGTACTGGTACTATGGCTTCTTTGAAATAATGACCCACCTAGATCCCTCCAGGGAAGCTCCAAGGCAACAAGCCTCAGTCACAGGCTCAGAGCCCCATCTCTTAATCATGAGCAGAGGATTCATTAGCAGGTACCTGAGGAAAATGTCTCCAGTATGGAAGATGGATACCATACAGACAAATAAAAAAACAGAAACGAAACATTTTGGAGAAAATACAGAGTATGCATGGGGAAGAAAAGAATTTTTAAAGCTATTATTAAAACTTTCATTAACATCTTCAGATAGAAAAGAGAAGATACTACAGTCATGGAACAAACAAAAAAATCCTATTAAAACAGAGGGATTCAGAAAACAAAAAGATAACTCAATGGTAGGGCTGAAGAAACAGAGAAGAAAGTAGATAGTAAAGAACAAAAAGAAAAGTGGAGAAAAGACAAGTAAGTTTTAGGATCAGGACAAGAAACCCAACATTCAAATAAAGGATTTCCAAAAGAGAGAACAGAGGCAACACAATAAGTGAAGAATAAAATAATTCAAGACAATTTCCCTGAACTGAGATGAGTTTATAAACTGAAAGGTTCACTGTGTCCAGCATGGAATTTAGTGCGTATGCATCAGTTACTGCTCTACTTGTTTGATGGATATTAACTTGCTTAATCTTCACAACAACCCTATAATGCACAATGCAATCCTTAGAATTTTGTCATGCTTGTGAGGGTATTTCCACATCATTTATCTATGCATAGTGAAACTTTGTCTTTAGAAAGATGAGTAGATAAGAATTTGTTGTTTTGTAGTAAAAATTCATGTTTTCCCACCAAAATAAACTTATTTCTTATATCAGTTAAAATAGTCTCTTGCTGTACAGTCAATTCTCTGTTCATAGTAATGTTCTATGAAGTTGTTGCAAACACTGAATTAGCAAATATTGAACCATTGATCTTAGGGGAAATACAGGGTTAGGTTCCTGCAAGACTCTGGTCACATTTTCACCAATTGAGCAATATAAAACTTTGTTTTATGTCTGTTTCTGCTTAAAAACATCTTATTTAGTATATGTTTTTGATTACCTTTGAACTTATGACCAACAACACTACAACTCATAACTGAATCAAGCTTGTCTAACACACGTGTTTTCTTTGAAAAGTACATCACAGCCTTCTTGCTCTAAGGAACATGGCAGCACTTCAGCACCGTGCTTGAGGGATGTTTTAAACAAGATGACCAACAAAAAGCAAAAGAGTTTGAAAAACGTGTCACTGAATAGACTGTAAAAAGAACACGTTTATAGAATGAGAGCTGAAACAAGAAGGCAGGGCATTACCCTGTTCAACCTCAGGGTATGGTGCACATCTGGTGCCTTAACATTTTTACCACTCTGCATATGTCCACAAATGACCATGATAGAGCCATGAGTATTGACTTGTGAGATACAAATAGGTAAATTTTACAGAGGGGAAAAATTTACAAATACAAGATCTGTAAATAATGAGGATTAACTGTTTCATTATTATTGTTATTAATATTATGCATATTAATGGAGAAAATATTTGGTTAAAGGAAAGTCTTAGATGTCATGTAAAGGGCATTTTGTTGACCTTGGCACACCCTCTCATACCTTGCCCCTGCAAACAAACCTTCTGAATCAATGAACATTTTTTATACAGTTGTGGCAGTTTAGGGACTACTAACATTTTGCTCCGATCTGGTGGATGTCTAGGTAAGACAGCTCCAAAACCTATGGGAGGCAATCCGGTGACCCTAAAACAAGATAACACTTTTTAGAAAACTTGTTAGACTGTAATATATAAACTTTCAAAGCCATGTAAAACTAATTTAGGGTTGGATTTTTATGAAAATTAATTTTTAAAGAGTTTTCATGTTTGCAACTTTTATGAAATTTGTAAAACAAAACATCCTGGCAAGTTAATGGAAATTTTAGCATTTTTGTCATCATTTTGACTGCATTTTTCAATAACTACAGTATAAGACAAAGGCTATGTGCCATTCACTTCCATGGGGAGGCACTGTGCCAGGTTGCAGGATGACAGCTATGACTAAGAAAGAGTTTCTATCCTCAAAGAACTCTCTATTCCTGAGGAAATGCCTTCATATAAATAACTAGAATGCAGCCCAACTGTCATGTAGGACATAAAATACTCAGAGGACAAAAATAGAAAAGCAATTAATTCTGATTAATGGCAGCTTACCTAACTCCTGCATGTCAGGCAATAGTTCTGTGCACACTTCGTATTTCATTTCATCTACATTTCAGAACAACCCTACGAAGTAGACGCTTTTGTAATTCCCATTTTACAAGTGAACAAACTGGGTTATAAACACCAAATAACTTTTACAGTAAATTGTAGTGCTGGGGTTCAAACCTGTATAGTCAGAACCCTGGGCCAGAAAAAAAAACATATAAAGATAAAATGACATTTCAGCTGGGCCCAGAATAAGTAGAGAGTTGACTGGTAAACAGCTGAGGAAAAGAAATTCCCAAACAGAGAGAACAGCATGAGCAGAAAGCATAGAAGCCTACGACAAATGAGCTTGCTGTGTTCCTTTAGTGTGGACCTGGGGTCACTATACCTTTTGCTACTTATACAAGTTCTTTCCTGCATGTCCATGTTCTATAAGTAAAGGAAAGTATTAAGAATACCTTTCAATAATCCCAGAGCTCACTGTTTCCTCATTCAATAGGGCCTTACTCTTCATTTCAGCCAATTCTGTGTTTAAACATACTTGTGACAACTTTTCATGTGTTTCTGATATCCAAACCTGGAAACATAGAAGTCACATATAAGAAAAATAAATTATCACTAAAAACAGTCAGTTACTAAAATATGTTTTTATTGAAGCACATTCTGATTTTAATTGTTGACTCTAGTTGACATTAAAAATAAATAATATCTCACAGCTGTCAAGTATTTCATCATAAATATGTAAAAATAGCAATTACTGTATGCTGTTGGGAAATAAAAACCAAATTAGCTGTTTCTATGAAATAGAAAGAACTGCATTCAATTAAATATACTAACTCTACCTACTTTCTACTTCTTTCTTTGTCCTTCTCAGGGTTGGTATATTTTAAATACCCTAAGTTAGAAAATGTTTGCAGCAATTACTTCATAAATCACAAAACTTCAGATACCATCATCATCACTGTCATCATTATTATTCATTCTCTATCATAGAGCATAATTCAATTAATTATTAAGCAATTATTTCTCCACAAAAAAACCTGTAAACTGTACAATGTATTCAAACCAATTGCAGAAGCATCAAGGTTAGCATCACAGGGATCATAGGAACAAAAATGGATGTAAGGGATTTAATATTTTCTCCACACAAAACTCTAGAAGATCATGAAGCTGGAGGTTCTGAGCCAAGAACCAGAACTCACCACCAAGAAAATCCATTACTTTCTCTGAAAGACTAGATTCCCCAAGACATTTATGAAGCCTTAGAACACATTAATACTAGATTTTCTGTTTTTAAAAAGAGAGACCACTCTTAAGGAAACCAGAGCCTTCAACTGCAAGAGTATCATGGCTATAGTCAGATGCTTTGGGTCCACTTTGCTTTAGTAATAAGGCTCTGCTGTAACTGGGAGTCTTAATTAAAATCATTTTGATTAAGTCTCTGGTGCTGGTTCCATGGCTTTCCAGATCCTTGACTTCTCAGAGCACTGCTCTCTAAGACCTCAAACTCTTGAATTACTATCCTCCCCGCCAAATTTTTCAACTCTGATCATATATCCTTAGCTCAACCACTGTTCTTAGATGTTCAGGTTCAATGGCAGGGGACACTACATTGGGTCTTATTTAACAGAAAAAAATATCTTTTGGGAAAAAATTAGTAGCTACCATTTGAAGGTATAAGGTTGACCAAAAAAATTAAGCTTAGATTGTTTTTCAGCCTTTTGGCTAAGATCAAGTGTAAAAATTAAGCGTAGACATGCTTTGATGATTTGTAACAGTAAAATATTTCAGCAAATCAACCAACCCTTTGAAAATCATATGAAACAAAGATGTTGCCAAACATAAAACAGAGGAGTAAAAAGAAACAGATAATCATAGAATTAGTAGAGCAAAATGAGTGCTTATTCCGTGCCAGACAATGTACTTAGCACTTTAAATGCATTATTTCAATACATTCTCAAAGCAACCTTCTGAGTGTTATGTATTAATATCAATCATGGTCTCAGAAGGGAAAAACAATCAAATGGGAATTGAGAAGAGCTTAATAAAGTATCTCTTTATAAATGTGTGGGAAGCATTAATTAAAAATCAACACTATTGAAGTACCCTGAGGTTAGCAATTGTGAGGAACTTTGGGGTAGAACAGTTATTGTAACTCAAACAACCTACAGCTATAAACTGAGGGCCACCTGATAGTTGTATCTTTCAGAACAGAAACTTGGCCACTGACAAAGCATGGTCCTGCAGGGAGGAAATCACAAGAATAAATGTCCAAGCTCCCTCTCCTCCCACCTCTGGTCACCTACCAGTGCCTCCCATGAGCCCACCCCAGTGAGAAGCCAGAGGGCAAGGAGCTCATTGCAACTAACCATATAGGTCAGCCTCTTTGGCACAAAGCAGGGTGAGAAGGGTGGAGAGTGGATCTGGAAATGCAAATGAAGAATACTTGGTATAATTTATTCTGTTTTAAAAAAGGGAAAACTAAGGCTGGAAGGGATTAAGTAATGCCCAGGCAAGTCAGCCAGAAAGTAGAAGCTCCACAATTTAAGACTCATGCAGTCTGCCTCATTCATTCATCCATCTATCTACATCTACTAAGTTCCAGGACTACACTTGTAAACAAACTCCAGAGTCTCTACTAGCTATGGCATAGTGGGTTGTAGTAAATCATGAGGATAATGGTAATAACAATAGCACATGGCCAGAAACCATTCTAAATTCTTCACATCAAATGCCTGTGACAACTCTACAATTCTCACTTTACACATAAAGAAATAAAGATATGAAAAGTTTTAGACTCTTAAGTTACAACCTTGTAAGTGGTAGAGCTAAGAATCAAAGAGAAGCCATCTGACTCCAAAGACAATTCTTAACTGCTGTTTTCTGTATCAGTGGCAAATGTTATCTTCCAATATTAGACATTCCTTCTTCATCTTCAATAGAATCCCCAAACTTTAGCTGGGTGTATGGCATTGCAGATCACATTTTTCAGGTTATTTTACACTTAGATGTGATCAGTGACTAGTTCTGGACAATTGAGCATAAGTGAAAATAGTTGTTTGCTGGAAAGAACTTCCAGGAAAAGTCATTCTTTTCTTTTCCTTCTTGCTGCCTGGAATGTGGACATAATGACTGGTTTCCAGCAGCCATCTTGGGTCCTACCCAATGATGGTAGGGCAGAAAACTGGAAGGAATTGGTCTCTGACAATAAATAGAACTTTCATACCAGTCCTGCTATCCTCCAGACCCTTTAGCTGAAATAACACAACCCTATATGAACAGTCTCTGTTGATTTCCAGTGTCTGTTGCATGTAGGCAAACCTAATCCTACACCATCTTAATGTGAAAAATCACTTTGGTGTAGAAATGTTCATAACCTGACATAAGGATGTTACTTCATAAAAGCACTTCCATATGTTTAAAAGTCTTTTGGGCTTTGTATATCTGTATATCACAGACTGGAGATTGGCAATTTGGTATGTGAGATAGCTAAATTAACACAGCACAAACTCGCAGGATAATCACTAAAATTTCCATTTAATTTACATAATAAAATCTAGTTTGAGACAAATGATAATATAGAAAATATCTAATGGATATAGGAAGCTCATTTCATAATATCATTCATATTCCCTGTTTTCCTGAGTATGAATTATTTTTAAATCCCAATTTCCATTCTTCTAGAATGAACTCTTCCCATATGTGCTGCACTTATGGGAAGACAATCCAGTAGACACATAACCTGGGTGACTAGTACAAGAAATGAAAAGACCACTTATGACTTCTCCTCAGGTTATCTATTTCACATTGGCCAGACTATTCTGCTGAGGATGACTTACCCTTGGCAGAATCTCTCATGGCGAGATTCATTTTAGATGATCCCCAATTGACAATTCTTTCCTGGATTCTTTACAGGCACCCAGAAAGTACATTCCCCTTACCCACAGTAAAGGAAGCTATATTAGTCCATTTTCATGCTGCTGATAAAGACATACTCAAGACCAGGGAATTTACAAAAGAAAGAGGTTTAATGAATTTACAGTTCCATGTGGCTGGAGAGGCCTCACAATCATGGTGGAAGGCGATGAGGAGCAAGTCATGTCTTACATGGATGGCAGCAGGCAAAGGACAGAGAGAGAGAGCTTGTGCAGGGAAACTTCAGTTATTAAAACCATCAGGTCTCATGAGACTTATTCACTATTACCAGAATAACATGGAAAAGACCCACCCCAATGATTCAATTATCTTTCACCAGGTCCTTCCCATAACATGTGGGAATTATAGAATCTACAAGATGAAATTTGGGTGAGGACACAGCGACAAACCATATCAGAAGTTCAGGTACTTCTTATATCAACCTTTTCCCTCTGATGCTACAAGCTACTTCCAGAAACCTCCAGTTTGGAGCCTTTTGTCAAACATGAGTGAGACCCCAACACATTAAGTTCCCTGGGTGGTATCGTTGAGGCCCCACTCTCGGGGTGGAAATGAAGGGGACACATTTCCTACCCTTGCCCCTTTGCGGGTTAGAGGGGTGGGATTCACAGAATGCATGCTCTCTCCAGACAACCCCTCCAACTTCTAAATTCTTTTGGCCAGATCTCTTCCATTTTAACCTTTTTTGTTTGTTTTTAAATCTTCAAGGTGAATGAGACACCAAGAAGCTCAAAACTCAGATACTGCCCAAATAATCTGCATGTTCTGCATGAGTGGGTTGGCATCTCACTTTGGAATAAAGGAGGAGTTAGCATCTATTATCTTAGATCTTCAGTCATAACTAAGGAAGTCTTATTTTAGCCTGTTGAACAGCATTCCCCCTACCAACTGTAGCTTTTCTGCACCATTGCCAAAAAAATACAAAGACTTGGTTATCTTTTAAAATCATCAAAAAGGCCTGACTTATTTCTCAGAAGTTTTGCCACTGGAAATCCTGACTGTTTTCACATCTAGGTTAACTCAGCAGTGCAATGTAAAGATTCTAAGGGATACAAGAAAGGCCCCTGCAACTATAACCACTCTTATTTTGAACAACTGGGACTCATAGTGTGTAATCAGAAAAATAATTCTATTGTTTTCACAACTACCTCTTCAAGCAAGCTTTTATGAGCCTCTTCATTCCTCCTTTTCTTTTTTTTTTTTAAGAAATAGGGTCTCACTGATACCCATGCTGAAGTATACTGGCACAATCATGGTTCACTGCAGCCTCAAACTCATGGGCTAAAGCAATCCTCCTGCCTCAGCCTCTCAAGTAGCTAGGACTACAAACTTGCACTACCACACCTGGCTTATGAGATGCTCCTTTTCCTGTCTCTAGCAGAAATAAATTTAGAACAAGTCTCATTTTTTTTCCTCATTACTCTTAGATAACAAAATCACTTATTGTCACAAAATAGTCTCAATTAAATATTTAATGTTAGTAAAATAAACATGAAAAGGTCTTCTAATTGTCTGGGGGAAAGGAAAAGCAGAGCAGGTGGAGAAATAAAAAATTATCCAACCTGGCCTACCCTCACCCCCACTTCCCTTTGCAGACTTCCCAGCCTAGAGCAGGATGTGGCTAGAGGAAGAGAAAAGCTT